ACAATCTATTAGAATGAATGGAGAATGAGGAGTTCTTTTCTGAATTTATTTTTGAAATGATGATGGTTTAGATGAGTGTATAACTTTAGAGGGTTTTCAAATGAATAAGTGCCCCATGAGCACTCTACAAGAAGAGAACAACATAATGGTAAATTTTATAAAAATGCAATTATATTTATCTTAAAGTTAGACAATAGAGAATTGATTGTTTGCTAAGTACAATTTAAGTATAGTTTTTATAATGCAAGTGCAATGCATTAGGGTTCTTGTATAGTTTTTATGATTTTAAGTGCAATGCATTAGGGTTCTTTTTTGTAAAATGTTACGCAAAGCAATATTCTTACCAACTAATGCACACACACACACACACACACACACACACAACACACACACACACACAACACACAAACACACAACACACACACAACACACAACACACACACAACACACATGGCGCGTTTTAGGGTTTTACTCTGGCGATTTTAGGGTGTTTCATGGCGCTCTCTTCGTTTTGCAGCCTGAGATCCTTCCTTTCTACACTCTCCTCGTTTCTTTCTTTGTTTTCTGCTGGTGTTATCTCTGTTTGCTCTCCTGGGGCTTTGATGGAGCGGAGTTATGTCGCGACCGTCTCTGCGGTTATTGGCCCTGGGTTTGGCATCGGTAAATCTTGCATTTCTCCTCAATCATTTCATGAATCTCTCGAAGTTGGTGGTGATTATACTTTTATCAAGAAGTTTGGACGAAAAATAAGAAACCTGCTCTGTTTTTTTCTGAGGTGGAAACTGGTATTCTTGCTTTCTCCTGTCGATTTGCTCTTATGGGGAAATTCCTTTATGGCCATCCGAAGCTTGAGATTATCCTTAAAGAATTTGATTCTATGAAGCTCACGGGTAGTTGGAAGGTTGGTTTACTTGATGGTCGTCATATCCTTATTCAACTAACGACTGATGCAGATTACACTCGTATATTTGCCCGAAAGGTTGTCAAGATTGATAATCGCTTTATGAAAATCCTGAAGTGGACTGTTGATTTTGATCCGAAATTGGAGTCCAATATCATTCCTGTATGGATTAGATTCCCGGGTTTAAAACTACATCTTTTCAATTATGAAACTCTCTTTTCTCTCGCAATTGCCTACGTTATGTCACTCAAGGTTGATAATCCCACGCTTGCACTTACCAGACCCTTTGAGGCTTGTGTTTTAGTTGAAAGAGATATTACCCAACCTTTTCCGGATGAGGTTTGGATTGGATCCTCACAAGGAATATTGACAAAAGGTTGAAATAAAATCACACTCTAATTATTGCCCTCATTGCAATATGTTTGGTCACAACTCTACTACTTGCTATGGTTTGCGTCCCCAACTAAGGTCGGGCATTGAAAAGGTCCAGAGGCCAGGTAAACAATCTAATCCTACTGATGAGGGGTTAACTGTGGTTCACAAGAAAACTCCTAGGTTGCTTTTGGTGTTGAGCCTGCTGCTGTGTTGCCTTCTACCGTTTCACCTGATGATGTACATCCCACCTCCCTACCCAGTACAGAAATTGTAGTTGGTGATTTGCCTGATGCTTTGCTGGATGGAAGAATTCCTGATGATAATCCTCCTATTCAACCTATTGTTTTGTCCATTGATGAACAAATTACTAGAGCCATTTTTAATGTTTTGATGCAAGGCGTTGTGAACTCTCACGGTATCACTACTCATGCTATTACTCTCTCACCTGATGATGCATGTTACATTGATGGTGCCCCTCAAGTGAGGGAACCACAAACCTCACATCATATGGAGTATGCTATGGCAGCCACTAATGCTTTAGAAGATAAGTGGCTATTTCAAAAATCCAGTAAGAAAAAGAGCAAGAGAAAAAATGATGAAGCTCCTCGTATTCAGGAAGCCTCAAGTGCAGATGAGACAATTCATACTTCATATATCCTAGAATCTACCATTGCTGCAAAGGGTGGCAACTTTCTACTACGGCTCTACCACCTTGGCAGATCAAGCAAGTTGTTATTATTAGTCAGGTGTAATGGGCTCGTCAAATTATACATGTCCAACAATCTGTCAACTAACACACTGATCAAATGAGTCAATCTTCAGATGAGTAATAACAGGTTTACACATTCAGGAGGAAGAAGGGCCTACTCGAGCTCAATAACTTAATGGATGACACATTGGTTAATTCGGGTAATGACACAAAACTCAACAATTTGTTAGTCGGCTCCCTTTCTAGAACTAGGTAGAGGTAGGAATAAAGTGGGTTGTTCCCTAGTAACTTTGATTCTGCGGTCTGGATTTTTTTGGATTTTTGGGTATACATGTATTTTCTTTTTTGAGACTTTTGTGTGTGTTGTATACCGTGTGTGTGTGGTGTCTTTTTGGATCTTGATTGAAAGAGATATTACACTACCAGATGTAGAAGAAGTCTGACTCTGCTATCCTCACAATAATTATTGACAAAAAATCATTATGGAACAAAAGCCTTACTATTGCAAGCGCTGCAATATATTTGGACATCCGCAAGAGAAATGTTTCAGATTGCACCGATAGTTGAGAACCAATACTCAAAAGCAGGAACATGTTGTTAGTGCACCCCACGTGCCTGAACACGGTCCCGACAAACCTAATGATAGCCAGCCTGAGGAGGGATTCACCACAAGACAGGAAATGGTGTCTGCCCCTTGGAACCTTTCTACTGACCATACTATATGGGATAATTTTCGGACCAAAAGTTAGGATAGCCCCACAACTCTTATTCAGAAATCATTAGGTGCATAGGTGACAATTCACACTTCACATACACTGGAACCTATCGTTGTGACAATGTCCGTCTTTCATTCTACTGCGGTTCTAATATCTAATCATACCGATGATCACATAAGCCAATCTTCAGCTGAAGAATGACATGTTTACATTTCTCGGCGGAAGAAGAAGGCTGAGGGCACACTCTAGCTTGGAAACTTAATGGATAATATTTTGGTTACTCCTGACAATGACACGACACTTCAAAGTTTGTTATCTTGCTTTGCTCCTAAAACTAGAGGAAGATGCAAGACTAAACTGGCTCGTCCCTAGCTACTTGTTTTCTGCATGTTTTAAATTTTTTTTAGTCTATATGTATCTTTTTATTGGGGTAGTACTGTACTTGGTTCCATATGGGTAGGGTGCGTCTATTGGGCCCTCTCATATAACATTTATGTACATTTTCTATTTCAATAAAATCAGCTCTTGGGCTTTTCAAATATATATATATAAAGTAATAATATTTTAGCAAATATAATGAATCATTTTCTAAAAATAGTTTTTAACTTTTTGAAAGCTAAAATAATATTATTGATACGAGTGATGAAGGAATGTGAGAATCTATAAAATTCGATAATATACTTGTGAGATTGATTGACTGGAGGTGCGAGTCAAAAGTTGTGTCAAGTAAGAGACGGTATGTAGTGGGGGTATCATAAAGTATTGTGCATCAGAAAAAATGTATAAATAAGAATCTTCAAACAACAAAAACAAAAATTACTGAAAATTGTATTAGAACTAATGAGGGGAATGATAATAAGAGAAGAATCATCACAATCATTTATAAGCGACTAGCTCTAGTAGCAGAGGATGGAGAATCAATGACTAATGTCTCAAATACTACGAGAAATAGTGAAAGGAGGTAAACAATTGTGTTTCGTTATTATGGCAAATGTTGAACCAAATCATGAAATTTGAACTGTGATTTCACTCGAAGCAGTAGCTAAGAGCACCACTCTACGACTTGACACAACGAAGCAGAGTAATGTACGTGCTTTGTTCCTAGCTTCAGTTTCACAGATAAATGATATTAAGGTTGGTGATTTGTTTCACTTCGCTCCAAAATTATACTTTTAAGTGCAATTTTAATGACAATGGTGCGAAGATGTATTTGATTTAGAACTATTTACATTGGAAAAGAAGTTCAGTTGATTAAAATTTTTTGAATTATAGAAGATGCACAAATGAGATAAATTTTGTGGAAGGATTAGGAAGCAAAAGAGAGCCCAAATCTGATATGGCTAGACATTATGCAAAACTCACATGAATGATAGGAGAATGACAATTCATAATGCTTGAACGATATAATTGAGATATTTTTGTTTGAAATTTGATGTTATATTTTTGTTTTATTGTTAATTGCTATGAATTCATTTGAGTTAAATGGAATTCTGTCCATATGATTTTTAATATTTATTTTCAACATTAACAAATAGAAAAAATGCCAATTCCATTTAACTTCACAAGCCAAAAAGCTATTTGAAGTAGTGATAGATTATATCTTTTCTCCATTTTAGGGTTTATTGTGTCTACGTGATCAATATTAAATATATTTGTTCTTTGTGGCCAAATTGTGATCCCAATTATACTGTTTTGCTAGTTATGTGTGGGTGTGTTCTTGTGTTCCTTTTGTTTTTGAGTGTGCACGGCTCACCTTCACAATTCATTTGCTTTTCATTGTGCCTCGACAATACTTACATATGATATGGATTATTTGTATGGAATAGTTTTAGCTCTATTGTTCTAACATTGGAAGGATGAGTGGTTACCAAAATTTTTTTGATTTGATTAATAGTATGTTTAGAGCCTTTTCTTCTCTTTTATGTTAAAGGTCTTGGTTCAAATTTCTATTATTCTTTTTGGTTTATAATTTAAACTATGAAAGTTGTTGTCATTAACAGAATTTGACACCCATTCTTTATCAGAAATTCAGGCATCTCAAAATTTGCATTGGAACCTTATTCTTGTTTCTCTTTTGGCTGGCCACTTAGTTGAAAAGATAAAATATGGACATGTATTTTTATGAACATTAACGATTTGAACATAATGCATACCTACATGCATATGAATGAATGTAGTTTTGTGCCATTCTTGTATGCATTTATTCTTCCATGAATGCTTACTTTTTTGCTAATTTATTTAGTTCTTCTTGAATAATCACTTGACATTGTGTGTTCTTATTGGTCTTTATCTTCTGCAGATTGCCGGTGGACAGTCTGGGCCTGGAATTGCATGGTCAACCTTTGAGGATCAGGTCACTTTTCCATTTGAACTGCTCCATCTATTTTGTCCAAGGACAAAGAACCCAATGATTAAGAATTACTTGATTTTATGCAGGCTCTTGTTGTCCTCGTTCATGATATGGGCCTTAACTGGGAGTTGATTAGTGATGCTCTCAATAGCACTCTTCATTTCAAGGTGGTGCCATCTAAAGCTAACAAATTCTTCAAATGTCGACATTTTTATTTAGTGGGCTCTTTTTTTTCCTTTTATAAATGTTAAAATTGCCTCTGAACACTACTGAAAATTTTGAGGCAGACACGTAGACCTATTTTATATTTTTTAGGACCAATTTAATCTTCTGAACATCAAAAGATGCTTTCATAGAATTTGCTGGAACATTTGGCTTTTTCATATTGTCTTTGTAATTTTTATTCGTTCTGCTAGGTCTATGTGGTAATTTATGAAAACTACTGGTCTTAAGAGTGGACATCAAAGGTGCTACTGTACAAGTTTTATCCCCAATAATTTTCCTTCCATCTTACCCTATTTCGGATGAAAATGTTTGTTGTGAAAGAGTAAATAGCTGGCATAACCATTAAGAGTGAGAAATGGTAATTGGGGAGCTTAAACTACAGCAGTTACTTGTAATTGTTGACAAACTCGTATTATCTTGTGATATATGCCAATTCAACTTCTTTTAGTTGAAAAAATTCTGCTAGTTTTAAAACTATTTTGATGGAGACCGTTTTAGACAGGGACCTTATTGTTTGTGGTGTTTATGTATGCTATCAAATTCAGTTTTGTTTTTTTACTTGAGAGTATAACAATACTGAAAACTTCTTTATTGACATTCTTTTTCATTTTTGGTGAATTCTGCTTATCTTTTATTATTTCATATGGGTACTAATGTTTTCTATAAGAACCTTGAGCATTTTCATAGGAACCAGTTGATTTTCTTTTTCACTTGTAATTGAAGGCATTGACAAATTTCTGCGCTTCAAATTGCAGTGTATATACAGGAAACCTATAGATTGCAAAGAGCGTCACAAGTTTCTTATGGATAAAAGTGTCGGTGATGGAGCTGACAGTGCCGAGGATTCAGGCTCATCTCAGCCTTACCCATCTACCTTACCTGGGATCCCAAAGGCATGGAATTCATATTTTGAAGATTGTGTTTTTATAGTCAGAAAATACTTAGTCGCTAAAGGCATTTTCTGTAGACTCTCATACTCCATTTCTATCATTTACCTTTTTATAATCAGGGCAGTGCCAGACAATTATTTCAACGGCTTCAAGGTCCAATGGAGGAAGATACTATGAAGTCGCATTTTGAAAAAATCATTCTCATTGGGCAGCGCTTGCGTTCTTGTAGAAGTCAGGTCTGTGCTTTGATCATTTTATTTATTTAGTTTTTTTGGGCATTTACATACGTAGCACACAATTCTTTTGTATTTGCATGTCTCACACCTAACTTTCATATTTACACACATAGCACTCAAATATTTAATATCAAATAAAAAATAGCAGTACTACACCTTTTTGAAAGTGAAATACATTTTTTCATACATAGGTTTAAGTATTTAAATATGAAATTTTAGGTGTGAGATATGTAAGGACATAAAAATTGTGTGCTACTTAGGTCAATTTTGCTTAATTTTTTCTCTTAGCATCTTCTTTAAGAGCAGATTTGGGTTAAAGGGCTTGGTTTCTCATTGTGAAGTAGGGACTTCGGGTTGTAATCATGAGTAAAATTACTCCCCTATATGGGGAAATTGCTGTTTAGATTACCCACTCCCAAGATTGTTGGTGGGAATCTTGTTAAGCTTGAGGTCCCATTTTTAGGGAGCTTCAGCTACCGGCTATACAAGTGCAACATATAAATAAAAACAACATATACAAATTAAACTTATAAAAAGTGCAGCATGACTTTGTTTGAAAATTTAGGCCTTCTGAGCTACATACACTATACTAAAAAAAATGAAGCAAAAGAAAAAAAACTTGTAAAATGTGTGCATAGCTGTCTTTCCTAATACCGTTCAAGTCAGTTATTCGGGGTTTCATGATTAGAATTTTCTAGTATCCATGACTTCATATAAACTAACATTGTTTATAAACAGTAATAAGTTGCATTGTGCATTGTGCACCAGAGCGTGGTTGTGTTCTTTGAAATGATAAGTGGCCATCCTTACTCTTGATGTTAATTTTTATTACTGGACATTTTTAAACCAAATTTCTAGTCAACTCAATTCAATTAATTGAACATTATTGATTATATCATAAGGGACTCTTGGCTCTTAAGGTTTGGGATTACTATGAAATTATATAACCCAAGTTCAGTTGATCCTGCGTTGGACTATGAGTTGTGTGGTCATGCCTAGCAATAGAGCTTGTGAGCTTGGGTTTTTAGGGCCATTTTTTGGCCCGTGAGTTTAATTTTTTTACCATATAAGCCCTTATAAAAATTTCACTTGGTCATCCTGGAAAGCTATGTATCCTACCCCACTTAGTGGGATAAAGGCTTGTTGTTGTTGTAGTCATCCTGAAAAGGCCAGTTGCCCTGTGATGTGTTAATAGCACATATATTATGCGTTTACATTTCTATAGTTTCTTCTTCTTTTCATTTTGATTTTTTCTGTTTATGTTGTTTGCTGTTTGCCCTTCTTCGGCTTGTTTGCTCTGACATGCTTTTCTGCTGTGCTTTATTTATTGTTTAATTAATGCTAATACCTTTTATTTATTTATTTTTTTGCAGGATAATAAACAACTGATACAAATAACTCCAGTTCACAGTTCTCATCTTTTGGCTCTTTCTCAAGCATGCCCAAACAACTTGTCTGGAACAATTTTATCGTAAGATCATTTGCATTTACTACTTTTTAAATATTTTTATATTACCAATCTTTCTTGTGCCTCCTCCCTTGTTAATATCATCTACCTTCTCATCTATTTCTCTTTAATTTATTTTATGTGATACAGGCCAGTTGATCTTGCTGATGCAGTGAATTCAAACACAGATTCCGTTGCCCTTGTGCATCAAGGTTCTCATACAAATGGCATCGTAATTCCAGGTCACCAGGCTTCTTTGGCACCAGTTCTTTCCACCTCATCCACAAACGCCATGCTGCAGGGCTCTCCTAGTATGGTTTTAGGTAGTGGCCTGCCACCACCATCTCCATTGCACGCGCCACCAAGGTAAGTTGTAATCACTTGGTTCAGCTTTTTTTTTTATCATATTAACTATCACATAGTTATGGAACAATGTATTTAAAAGTTAAATGGTGGTAGTTTGATGTGATATGAAAGGTTGGGGTGGTATAAATGTAAAATGTAAAGTTTAGGTGTTTGATATGTAAATACATAAATTGGGCGGTATGTATGTAAATGCCCCAATAGTTATTCACTGTGGTGCAATCACTTCTGCAGAGATTCACAAAGATATGGTGTGCATAGGTCCTCTACATTACCAGTTGAGGATCAAAAAAGACTTCAGCAGTATAACCAGAACTTTTCTGGTAGAAACGTGCAACAATCTGGTATTTCTATGACGAATGCTTTGCCTGTTGGAGTCGACCGTGGTGTTCGGATGTTACCTGGCGGTAATGGCATGGGTATGATGTGCGGGGTTAACAGGAGCATGTCCATGCCTCGGACTGGTTTTCAGAGCGTTAGTGCGGCGGGCATGCTTAACATGGTTTCCCCTAATAATATGCTCTCAGGCAATGTTTCTAGCCCAGGAAGCACAATGTTAAGGCCACGTGATGCTTTGCAGATGCTCCGAGTGAGTTAGATGTGATATTTAATTTATGATTATTATTTATTGATGTCTTTTTATTTGTATAATTGATGGCATCCTTATTTGCCTCATAATTAATATTTTAGTTGGCTTTTAAAATCCTCAATTACTTCCAATTTTTTTTTCACTAAAAGATTAGCTGCGTAGTTATGGATCATAGAGTAGTTTCTGCTCCGTTCAGAAGTGGAAGTTACATTCGTATTTATCATTTCTTCTGCATAAAAATGTTAATAACTATTAAATACTGGGAAGGATTAATGAGCAATGTGTAGCACACAGTTTTATTTCATGTAATTTTAAATACCTTGCACTTTTGCAAAATCTGAATATCTGTTTGTTTGGATGTTATTTAAAAATGATTGTTGTTTAGGTAACAATGTTATTTGAAAGGTAATGTTGTATTTCAAATATTATGTGTTCGGTTTAATGCCATCTCACTTAAGAAATGAAATAGTATTTAGAATAATTAATGGTGATTAAGATTTTTCAATTTCAAAACTATCATTATTATGGTAATCTAAGTAGCATCCAATCTGGACATTTGTTGGATTATGTTAATCTTGACTAGAATTTTTTTCAAATTATCTTGATGTGAGAGATATCATCAAATTAGAAACCTTTTCATAGATAGCTTAACATTATATCATAGAAAACTTTAAATGAAACAACCCCCAAGTACTTGTCCACTCTATTCCGTTTGATTTACCTTTAGCTCTTTATTACCTTTAGCTCTTTATTATATCATACTTTAGCCACTTGACACTAGAAATACGAGTATTTATCATAATTTGTAGTCAAGATTTTAATCCTTATTGAAAACACGGTAATAATTTATACGCTGAAAGAAATTTAAAAGACTATGTTGCTAAGTGAAATCACAGCATATTGCCATGTTATAACGCCATGAGATAAAAAATAATGCAGAAAAAATCCTCTCTTAGTTTCTTTTTTTCCTGAGAGAATGGATTTAATTCATTCTCTTTTTGTTATTTTAGTCTCTTTCTAACATATTATGTAGCAACCAGCTTAAATATCTAAGCCAAGATGTTCTTTTTTTATTCTAAATACTAAATTATTTGTCATTCTTCAGAAGTCAGCTACCCGAAATGTTGATTCTTGTGCGCAAAGATGTTCTCTCTTTTAAGGTAGGTGATTGATTAAGGAACTACCAGAAGATCCGGACGCATTTTTTGGGTTAAGAATACAATGGAACCTTCATCATCATTTGTTGAACTATTTTTTTGTGCCGATGTTTTGCCAATATTCTCTCTTACTTTTTTCTGTCTCTTTTTTTCCTCCTGAATTTTCAACATTTATTTTATCTAATTATATTTTTGGTGCATCTTACTATCTCTTATTGCGCATATCCAACCGCCTAAGTCTACTTCCCTCTACCTTATTTACAGCAGATTTTATTCCTATCTTATTAATATTGTTTAGTGCTAATTTAGGTGTTAAACCTATCTTGAGAAAATTTTGATGTGCAATCTTTCATCCAAGCTAGCTTTTGTCTATTTCCAATCTTCTTAAGTGTCTTTCAAATTTAATATTATATACCCATTTGAATGCATCTTCTTCCTTTTATTTTGCGGGCTCAAGCTCAAATCATACAATTATATTTTCTTTTACTTTCTCTTTAATGATGCTACTTTGACCACCATTCTCATAAAATTAGTTCTAAATCTATCCTTCTTTTTTCTGCCACACATTAATCTTAGTATTTTCGTTCTTGCAGTGTTTTATTTTCCTATAAATGACTTCTTGATTATTGAACACATAGATCCATTCAACTTTGCTGGCTTTATTTCATTGTTATAAAATTTAACTTTTAAGTCTATATACGATTTTCTAATTATTTTAATCATTCTCATTTTAATTATATAAATTAAATCTTCATCTTTTTCTCAATCTTCATTGTAATAAATCCAAGATATTTGAGCATTTTATCCCTGATATCACTTACTATTCAAGTAGTATCGGCTGATAATTACTAATGTCATCCACTAAAACTATCATTTTCTCGACCATGGAACTTTCCATATTGCTTGATTATTTGAGTTTGTCTTAACCTAATTTTCTGTTTGTAGTTTAAGCCAATATTGTGAAAGGTAAGCAGGCACTTATTTAGTTGTTCAAGCGAGGGAAGGTAAGAGCTTTGTATTTTGTACACCTCCCAAGCGAGAACCCTACTTAAGGCACGTTGCTTTGGATGAGAACCTTAGCTTTAGTTACCATGTAGCTAGTTGAGCTTCTTACCTTTTGTTGGAGATAGGGTTGGAAATACTTAAACACAGTAAAGAAGGCAGTTTTTGAAAATCATTGTTTAATGTGGGGTGATTTGAAAAGTTCAATTGCACTTGGAGAAGTAAGATCTGATTAAATTAATGTGCTATAGCTTTGGTTTCTTGAATTATATATTTTTAGTGATGAAGCGTTTGAATCTATGGAGATCGAGCTGCTTATAAGTCTGGTGAGAGAAAAAGAGTGGACGCTGAAGAAAATGAATAGATGATGGTGAAGAACAATATATATACTATGAACATAAGTAGTTTAAATGCTCTCCGGTGTAATTTATGCTCAATAATTTATTTAACAATGTTTTGGAGCTTGGGTGCATTGAAGAGATCAATGCATTAAAATGAGGAATCATAAAGGTTTCCCTTAATTGTGGGGATAAAGCTATTGATGACTATGAATACGGTTTACTTCCTGAACTATTTTCTCTATGTTAGAATAAACATTCCCATCGGCTTAACCCGTAGTCATGCTTTACATATTTGGTGACATGGATCCATACTCTTTGCCAAACGGCTGTCTATATTGTCAAGAAGGCCCTGTGTTTTGGCTAGAATGGCTTTTTGGATCTTGCTATTTTAGTATTTTCCTCAATAAACTCCTTACATGATATTAGAGGGGCAGTGAAAAAAATTATAAAGGGCAAACCAACAAATGATTATGTTAGAGGGATGGTGAGAGTGGCTGCTTTTGAAGATAAAATGGTTTAAAATAAACTTAGGTCTTGGAATGCATAGCGAAAGGTAAAAGATGCATGATGGGTAAATAAAATTAGCTTAAATGATTTGGGAGAAAAGGAGTGGGCAGACGTTTAACATGGACAGAAGTTGTGTAAAAGAATTGTCCGAAAATTGTTTCACACTGCATGCATCATTTAACATGAGCACTTGAAGCATGAAGATTTATATATTTGTCCCAAAATTGTCGTTGGCATGACTAATGGCAATAGTTATTGTGATGATGAAACTATGTATTCTCACCATTATTTTCTATGAATTTCTTATCTTGAAAAGCTTGTCCATGTCTTGAAAAAGTGAATGCTGCTTACATATTTTTTCCACATTCTTCGCCAGATTTTGCCTGCCTTTGCTGAACCTCGATGCACGTGACCTGATTCTTGCCATATTTAAGAATCTGTTTATCTTCTGTGATGACGTTAATCTCTTTGCCTCTTACATACTAAACATGATCGACTAACGTGTTAGATTTTGGCACAAATATTTTCTATTGTCCGAGCAAATTATGATGTAATTATTCATGAATTTACCTTCCTCATTACCCTGAATATTAGTTAACAATTTTGTGTAGCCTGGTCAGACTACAGAGGAAACTAGGCAGATCATGATGCAAGAAATTCAGCTGCAAGCCTCACAAGGCAATGCTCAAGCTATTGCCCCTTTCAATGGTATGAGTGGCTCATTTTCCAATGCATCAGTTCCTCCCCCTGTTCAGACAATGCCACTGCAACAACACCAACCACATCAGATTCCTCAACAGCCTCATATCCTTGGGAGCCCTAATAACTCTCTCATTCAAGGCACCAACCACTCAAGCTCACAGCAGCAGGCATATATCCGCTTTGCTAAAGAGAGCCAGCTTCAACAACGGATTATGCCTCAGGCCCAGCATCCATATTCTGGTTCCTCTGCCATCTCTCCCATGGAAAACAATTCACAGTTCCAACAACAAAACCAGTCATCTTCACCTGTAAATTCAGTTGCTTCATCCCAGACACAGCATAAGCAGCAACCAATGCCTCGCAACCCTCAAACCAGCAGCACGGTGTCAAGTCAGATTATAAAGCAAAGACAAAGGCAACAGGTTCAACAACAGCAGCAGCAGCAGCAGCAGCAGCAACCAAGGAATCTACAGCAGCAAAAGCAGCAGGCACAGCATGGTAAACTTATGAAGGGATTGGGCCGGGGAACCATGTTGCTGCAGCAAAACCTATCAGTTGATGCCAACCAAGGCGGTATCCGTCCAACAGTTTCCAGTAACCAGGCCTCTGAGAAGCTTCTGTTGCAACAAAATCAGGGCTTTAGTCCTGTAAGTGCAGGATTAAATTCAAATCTGCAACAACCTTCGATCTCTCAACAGCTGTATTCCCGTCCACATCCTCCACAATCAAAGCAAGTTGCATCTATGCCTTCTCATCCTGATAACAATCAAGCTTCAATACGGGCCCCTTCAACTCATTCCATACGAACTGTCCAGCATTCGGTCCCAGCAACACCTCCAGCTACCCAGCAGCAGCAGCAGCAGCGACAAGCAAATCAATCACCAACAAACATGCAAAGAATAATGATTCCACAGAGCCGTCAGTCAAGTCATGATGGTAGAATACAGTCCATTAATGAACCAGTCCAAGTGAATCAAATGATTCCATCTTCATCACTTCCTAAAACTTCAGATTCTTCTAGCCTGCCTGGTGTTATTTCATCAGGAGTCCACTGGAAGCCAGAACCATCCTTCGAAACATGCACAACGGGTGAGAAAGCTCAAATAGCTGCCATTCCACAAGAAAACTTTACTGGGAATGATGCAATGATACCACCTTCTACACAAGGTTTAGGGCAGAGGCAGTTATCTGGTAATATCTCTATGCATGTGCATGGAGTTGGGGGTCAATGGCAACAACAGCAGCAGCTTCAGCCAACACCTCTAACTCAGCAGCAGCATCGGCAAGGCGTACAAGGAAACTTGTACACACGGTCTTCAAACACAGGACCATGATGATAAAAAGAATGCTGGTCCTTGAAACATGAAGCTGCTCGATCAGCTTTTGTAGAAGTATTGTACAGGTAAAGTAAGCTTAAGACTACATAGAACTCGTGCACATCTGCTTTTGAGCATTTTTGTTACTCATCGTGTTGTGAGCATGAAGGATCTCCTCCTAAATTGCAATAAAGAAGGAATTAAAATTTTGAGGGAAAGAACCTTATAATTAAGTATTTTTTTTCCTGAGATTAGTTTTTATGAAAAAAAAGCTGCATAATTAGTTCTCCATGTGTCATCAAAATGATCCTTTTTAGTTTTTTTCTTATGATTTCATTTCTAGTCCATTCTAGACTTTGAAGGCGGAATTAGGCTAGGCATCTTATTCCTTTAATCGAGATAATGAAATGAGTATGTATGTTTTAAGATATTCTGATTCGTGTAAATGCTCATTGTATCAACCACTCTTATTTATGACATAATAAGTATCTTTTGAGATTGAATATGCGACATCCTTTAAATGATGGACCCTATTAATCCAAATGATTGATAATTCTTTACATTTCTCTAAATACAGATTAGCATATTCTCTAGTAGCATTAACAACATATTTGAGGAAAGAGTTTAACTTAATTAACCTTGGTGTACGCTTTTCACCGATGATATCCTTCTTGAGTTTAGAAAAAAACTTGAATTATGTAGGCCTACACTAGAGTCTAAAGGCCTTCGTTTGAGTAGATCTAAATTGAATATATGGAATTTAATTTTAGTAGTAGTTGCTCGAGTGACAGAGTTGTAACTATGGGTGATCAAATCATTTAGGTGTTGTCTAACAACAGATGAGATTTATGGTATTCAAATTCAGTAAATCTTGTAAATCCGGATTTACTAAATTTGTATGGGTTAAATCTTGAAAATTGCCTTGCAATGGATTTTCTAAATCTTATAAATCCAGTAAAACTATTTGGCAATTTCTGTCCGAATATAAGAAGTCGTTATGGTTGTCGAAGACATTCGGAAGCTCGCGAAATTAAATCCCAAGCCCACGAAGTTAAATCCACTCATTCGTCGGATTCATTATATCTGAGATTTACATTCTAAATTCACGGAATCCGGATTTACGACATCTGGGGATTTATTTTGTCCAAAATGACCGTCTAGCAGGATTCCACTTAAATCCTGCGTAAATTCTCGGTTAAATTCGCTGCCAAACAACCCCTAAAAGGTGTGAACATTTTAGATCTCTCGGGTCTATTGTTCAAAGTGATGGTGATATAGATGGTGATGTTATTAATAGAATTCAATTTGGTTGGTTGAAGTGGAGGAATGCATCAAAACTATTGTGTGATGGAAAAGTACCACTTAGACTTAAAGGAAAATTTTATAAGATGGTGGTGAGACTTGCAATGCTCCATGGCACAGAATGTTGCCCTTTAAAAGAGAAGTATAAAACAAAATTAAGTATTGCTGAGATGAGAATTCTTAGGTGGATGAGTGGCTTGACACTTAGAGACAAAATGCGACATGAATATATCCATGATAGGGTTGGTGTTGATAGGGTTGGTGTAGTGTAGTTCCAGTGGAGGACTAGATTAGTGAGTCGCCTTAAATGGTTTGGTCACGTTAAACATCAACCATCCGATGATCTAGTTAGGAGACTAGATGTAGGGGTATACCTAAAAAGATTTGGGCATATTGTATAAAAAATGATCTTAATCTATTAGAATTAAATGAAAATATGACACTCAATAGGACGCGATGGAGATTAACGATTCATGTGGCTGACCCCGTTTAGTAGGATAAATGCTTGTTATTGTTGTTTTTGTTGTCGTTAAATTCTGTGGAACTTAAAGATTACTCTCAAAGATAAGTTGGTGGAACTTAAAGACAATGAATTTCAAATTTCGAAAAATTGTTGAAAGAGAAATTTTTGTAGCTTGTAGATAAATCAATTTAATGTGGGATTAAATGGAGAATTTGATTATAAAATTTCCCAGAGGCTTTAAGACATTTTTGAAGTAATCATATTTTGATAATGTAATTTTCAATGTTATTAAATGTGCTATTACGTTGAAGGTAACATGATTGTCTAATGTCTGACTACCCAAGGTGCTAGGTGCACACTATAAAATTTCACATATTTTAACTGTAATGAATATTTTGGAGAATATAATATCATCACAATAAAATATTAAAATATGGTAAGGAAAAAAATAAATTTCGACAAAATGTTAAAAGTTTTAGATAGATATCTAAAATTAAGTTTCCATAAGGTTTAAAGGTTATGTGTTTCTATGTTTAAATAGAAAAATAAAAATCTAAGTTGGTAGCTTTAATATTGTAAGGTTAATCTAGTCTTCAATGATCACTTTTATTTTATTTCTCCTCTTTAAATTCTGGGGCCATTCATTTTTCAATATGGTTGTGCTCTTTAAAATATAATAAAAGAAGATTATATAAAAAAGACAAACACTTGTGCTCTTAGTGTCTTGCATTAGGATGCTTACTAAAGCAGTGACGTAGTGTGGCTTGAGAGGTGTTTGAGGCATAATGCCTCGTCACGCCTCGCCTCCTCTTGCCTTGCCTGAGCTCCTAGGAGAGCATTCAACTTGATTTTGATAATAGTATGTGCATGCATCCATATATGCATATATTTATGTATGTATGTATGTATGTATGCTAAAATAAAAGGTATGATTTAGAGGTTATTTCATTTGTTTAAAATAAATATATTTAGCAAACATGTAGATCTTTTTTTTCTTTTTGAGAAATTATAAATTACAGTTTACAATGTATTTTTATAGAAAAGTTAATTAAACTTTTTTTCTATTTTGTGTATCATTTGACATTACGTTGAATTTTGCTGCTTTTCTTCAACTCTATTTTTTTCCCTAAATCATCAATTCTTATTTTCTATCTGATTTATTAACATAGTTTTTGTCATCTTTATTCATTTCTAATTAATTTACTTATATATTTTTTTCATCGTATCTTCAACAAGTATTATTCCTTGCTGGTTTTCTCCTTTTACCACTTCCAGATTTTTCCATATTCAATTGGCTATTAGTGACCACTCTTTTTTCTTAAAATTCACATCTCTATAATGTGTATTTAATTCTATAGTTTATAAATGCTGTTTAAAATTTAGAAGTGTCTCAGGAGTTGTGTGCTGAGAGAATATTATTTATACCTGAATGATAAATTCAATATAATCGTAATTAAACCGATGATATTGTATGAATCCAAATATTGTGTATGAAAAAATCATTTGAAGTTGTGTGGTAAATGAGAATATAAAGGCAGATATGGATGGACAAAATATTAAATGATTATATTAGATAAATTTTGAAGTGGCATCCATTGAAGATAAAGATAATTAAAAATATTTTTAGATGATTTGAACATGTATAATGAAGGTAGAAAATGTTTCCTTTAGGTGAGTTGATAAAATTATTTTTAGCAGATTAGGGAAAAATAGACATGTCTTATGTTGCATGGATAGAATATGTTCAAAATTATCTATGAAGGAGAGGTTTAACACATCCATACAATACTCAAAAGAAATGAACAAGAAGTGTGGATTATTGTTAGATGATTTGAACACGTATAGTGTGGATTGGCGTTAGCTGATTATATTAGAGAAAATTTTAAAGTGGCATTCCTTTAAGATAAAGATAATTAAAAATAATTTTAGGTGATTTAAACATGTATAATGAAGGTAGAAAAGGTTTTAGTTTGATGAGTTGATAAAATTAGTGTTAGCTGATTAGGAAAAAATAGAGCATGCCTAAGGTTGCATGGATAGAATATGTTCAAAATTATTGCGAAGTAGAGGTTTAACACATCCATACAATACTCAAAAGAAATGAACAAAAAGTGTGGATTCATGACGTCTATCCCAAATGGTTAGGATAAGGCTATTTATAGTGCTAGATCATGTTTCTTTGTTTGTATAATTTTAATTTTAAGACAATTTTTATACATATAATTTATCCAGTAATTTCTAAATATCAATCATAATGTTGTCACACCATGTGTTTCTCTATAATCAATTAAAAATTTACCATAAGCCTTTCATTCCTGAGATATTTATTTACTAATTTTATTAGAATAATTTTTGCTTCATAGCAGACTTATGTGGCATAACATCAAATTAATTCTCCAGTATTGTTGTAATATTTTTAGGAAAATTTTTTCATTTTTCTTTACCTATAACATCAAATCAATTAAAGATTTATGATAATCCTTTCATTCCTTGTATGTTGATTTACTAATTTTATTAGAATAAAATTTTCCTCATAGCAAAACTTTGTGGCATAACATCAAATTAATTCCTGAAATGGGAAACCATTGTTCCTTGTTGTGTGTTGGAGACGCTTTTACTTGAAATTTGAAACCAATACCAATTAAAAGTTGATCGAATGTTGCGCCTAGAGGATTTTTGAATAAATTTGATCCTGTACTTGAGCTAGACTAGAAATAATTTAAAATTAGACCAGTGTAATTAGAAATTAGTGTTGTAATTAGTAGAATTAGAGCTTATGTAAAAAGTAGGAATGCTTTGGTAACTAGTGATATTGTTATACCATGGAATAAAAGTGCCATGGTATGATTACTGCTGGAATTGATAAACTATAGATTTGTCATGAATTAATCATTTGAGCAGTGGATCCTAGTGATCCATGGAATACATTTCTAGAATTAGCTGACATCCAGCAAATAGAATAATGTATACTCCAATTCTTGATTATACTGTTGAATATAGAATTCCTAGTGAGAAATCACTTAGTGGTAGATCTGGTCCTAGAGGAATTATACCCCATCCTAGTAGACAAAAAATTAGAGTAAACGTAGGTGCTTGGAAGCATGACTCTTTGTAGCTTGTGATGGAATAGTTTTCTCTTGAATTACTAGTTTTAGAGCATCCGTAAATGGTTTTAGTATAGTATAATAAAAAATGTAGATGGTTCATGATTATGTTAATTTTTTTCTTAAAAAAATTTATTCAAATTCTTATTTAATAGTTTCTCCATATAAGATTTTAATTTTCCTTAATGCTTTAATCTTTAAGTAGTACTTTATTTTA